AAAAAGTTGTGAATGGAAGGGAAAAAGTGAGGATAAAGAAGAAAGGAGTACAAGACAGCACATTTTTAGCTATATAACAAAATACCACTGCTATCAGAAAGCACCTTGTGGAATAGTTAAGGAAGGCTTTTAATGTAACAAAATAGATTGTGAAATTACCAAAATTCTGAGTGAGAACTGCAACAGAATAGTGTGAGAGTCCTTCCCTGCTGGAATGAAACCTTCACAAGTGCATACACGACTGCAGCCTACGCTAGGAAAGGAGAAACATGCCAGAAATTGGCCAAACTCTGCATTCCCTCCCTCATGACACAAAAATTAAACTGAGTTATTAAAATTACATTATTTTAGCTAAAATTAAGTTAATTACAGTTTTGTTCTGTTTTTCTGCATGGTTATAAAGCAGAACTTAGATTGAGAATAAAATAAAATAGGCTCAAAATGTAACTTGCAATGGTCATTACAATAAATGTCAGGCCTAGAATTCACAAACCAAAAAAGAAAGTAACTATTATAAAGGTTTAATAGACACATAAATCATTTCAGACCAGGGAATAAAAGAAGTGGTTTTCAGAGAATGTGAGGTTTGGGTTATGCCCAAGCCAAGATGGGCAGAATTTGATAAGACATGCCTCGAGTTGAAGATTCTGATTGCCACAAGTAGTTCAGTATCTAGTCCAACCTTATTTGTGTGCTGCCTCTCCAAATTACAATGAAATTTATGGGTCCATTTGTAAAGTGAATAAATGTATTACTTTATTATTCCTAACCATCCTATTGGTAAACATATGATGCTTTTATTTTAGAGCCAGAATTTGCATAAACATACCTATTTAAGAGTAAAACATGGGTCATATTGGACTGGGTTCATATCAAGCTGGAGCTGTTGAGATAGAATGTATTATCATGGTGGACATATGGTGATTATTGTCCAAAATCTACAATATCACAACAAAAAGTAGACTTTAGTAGAGTTTTGCAGAAGTTAAACATAAACATCCATGCAATTGGAGAGATTAGATAAAAAAATTTGTGGGATTTTTGACGAATGATTTGTTTCACAAGTTACTAATGGAGAATTAGTCACACACAAATAAAACTATTGTCATCATTGAGCTGAGTCACAGTTCATCTCTGACAATATATTAAAACAATCAGTTTTATCATTCATTATTTTATCCATTACTTATTTTTACCATGGTAGTATTTGTCTTCATCTCTAATTAGATATTGATATGCCTTAGGAAGAATACTAGATTAAGAATAAAATGATAAGAATTCTAACCACAATTCTGATCCCTTTTTGACAGTGAAAAAATTACAATTTCTTTGGAGACTGAAACCATATCTGTTACTGCTCATACCACGTCTTCAGTATCTAACAAAGACAAGGCGCAGAAGCTTCATAGTAGCTGTTGTAGGAATTAGTAAATTAATGAATGAGGTCACTGTTCCTCCTGACCTCATCCTTCTCATTGAAATGGTAACATATGCATCTTACCTATATTGACATGTCATCAAAAGTCCCTGGAAATCATCACTTATATGTTGCAAAATCATTTTTTCATATGCAGTGCTTAATTTCAAATTCTTTTATAACCCACAGAATAGTGGTCAACTTCAAAATGATACTCTGTAAGTCTTTTGATTGAGTTTTCAGGATAGCTAAAACTAAAGAAAGCAAAGATAACATGTTGGAAGGACTAACTAAGCCATTGCTGTTTACTCTTCACCATTTATGTTCTTGAAACAGGGCACAGATATGGATACTTTCACGGTATGTAAAGCAATAGACATAAGCACTTAGCATTGGAATGTGGTGTTTTTGGTACTTTTATTTGAATGAAGGTTTATCTAATGCTGGTGATTAAACTGAAAATAATGATGTTACAGTAACAGTATCTAGTCATGTTCCCTGATACTTAACCCGTGTTGAATGTCATTGCTCAGGATCTGTCCCATATTTTTTTCCTCCCCTGAATTAAGTAAACGATTTATTAACAAAACTCAATGAAATATCTCCTAGGTAAATGACACAATGATAGGAAAATGAACACATACAACAGAGCTGAATGAGAGAAACAAAGAAACACATACAATATCTACATTGCAATGTGCAGATGAGGCATCTCCTCTCTTACCCAAAGATAATTTTACTTCTTAGGATATAGGGAATTGGAAGTTATCATTTATTAAGGCACAGTCTGTTGTTTTCTACATCAGTTGTTACATAAATGGAAATTTTTAACTGCTATTTTCTTTTATAAAAAGGTTTATTTTATTACGTGCGTATGTGTGTGCCTGAGTGTATGTTAAGTGTACCACTGGTGTACAGGTGCCTGTGGGAGGCCGAAGAAAGCATCAGATCCTTTGCAACTGGAGTTACAGGTGGATGTGTACCACCACATGAGTGCTGGGAACTGATCTTGAGCCATCTAAAAGAATGGCAAATACTTTCAATCCCTGGGCCATCTCTCTAGCCCCTCAACTACTTTTCTTTAACATATTCAACTAATGGAAATTTTTCTATTTTATTTATTATTTTTATTTTATGTGTATGCGTGTATTGCCTGCATGTAGGTAAGTGCACCCGTGTCATGTAGGCAATGCCCAAGGAGGTGAGAAGAGGCTGTCAGATCCCCTGGGACTGGAGTTACAGACAGTTGTTAGCTGCCATTTGAGTGCTGGGATTTGGACCCGAGTTTTCTACAAGAACAACCAGTGTTCTTAACCGCTGAGCCATCTCTCCAGCCCCCAATATCTTTTTTTTTTTTTTTTAGACAGTGTCTCCCTGTAGCCCTAGCTGGCCTGGAACTCGCTATATAGACTAGACTGGTGTTGAACTCACAGAAATCTGCCTGCCTCTGCTTCCTGAGTGCTAGGACTAAAGGTGTGTACCACCACGCCCGGCTAAAATATTCAACTAATGGAAAATTTTTGAAAAGGGAAATGATACAAGTCTTTTCATTACCTTCAAGCTTCATGAATGAAGCTAGATAAGCTATTCATAATCTGGATAACTTGTAAATTAACTGTGTTTTAGTTATTACAGTTCCTGACCTATTTAGTGACAAGCCTTGACAATTTTCTGGTTTAGTTGTAGGATTAGATGCCTTCGGCCCTGCAGAATGCAATAGAAAAATCTTAAGTGATTGAGAACTTACATTATGTTTAATTTAATTTAACAATAATCAAAATAAATGAAGGTCTATCAATATATACATAACACACACACACTTAACATTCTACCTAGTTTATCTACTCAATTAATTAGCTACATTGTTTTTAATTTGCTACATTTTTTGAGTTATATTAAACACAAAGCTTTAGTGAATCTGCCATCACTGTCTAGGGCAATCCAAATAGCTGATATAAAGAGACAGCTTTCATAAACATAAGTTTCTAATACATATAAATGCTAGTGGTAGCTTCTCTTCTTTACTAAAGAAAATGGTCATGTTATTTTAATTAATGTTTTGGGTATTTGTGGTTTCATTGGCTAGAGAGAAACCCAGTCCACAAATCCTAAGTGTCATCTTACCAAGAAAAATAATAACATTTTTAGACAATGACATTGTTGCCTACATTATAGATCAAATTCTTCATAATGGAAATTAATCGATAACTCATTATCACAACACTTGGGATCCTAGAATATTAGGGTGGAGTCACTAGCAACAATTTTAACAATAACTCAAAATTATACACTCATCTCTTTATTAAAAGGAATAAATTTGAATAATAATTGTGTAGTCAGTAATACTGTTATATTTTAATATACAGAAATGTATGTAGTCATACTTCATATTCATTAATTCGTTCCACTCAACATTCTTATGAAAGACCTTCATTTCATAGACATAGAAATTTAGCAATTTTTGGATTTCATTTCTTAAAGAAGATGGTACTTACTCCTGTTTTCAAGAAATGTAAGTGAATCTAGCTCTATTTCCTCTGCCTAATGATGGAGCAGCGGGTCATATTTATGACCACTAACCAGGCTTTGAACTTTCATTTAAGTCCATGTTTTTTTCTTCTGCCTGAATTTTATTCTCAAGATAAAATTCATTTATTTATTCGTGAATTCACTAAGGATTTAAGGTTACTCGCTTAAAGCATCTTTTTTTAAGATGATAAAAGGAGTGGCACAAAATTAGCCTGGGAGAGTTAGTCATGACCGAGAAGCCAGGAGCGATCACAGGAGAGCATGTCTCAGGGATAATTGAAGAACATTACTTACAGTGTGGGAATCCGAACACCACAGAGATGATGAGGAAAGGGGTTATTAGCTAAGCCATTGTCTAAAACCCACTGAGTGACTGGTCCCTTTCAGTAATGATTGGTCCCTTTTTTTTCAAACGATGGGTCTTAAATTTTAGGAGAAGATCCAAACAGAAGAGCTGAGAAAAAGGACACGGGTCCTTGCAAGGCTTTAGCTTTCTTAGGCCAATGAGTAAGGTAAGATATAAAATCTTTGCTTTCATAATTTTAAGAACCAAACTTAGTGGACTCTGAAGAATATGCTGCCATGGTCACCTTAACATGTGGCTAGGTCAGTAATTTAAATACGGTAGGAGCTGTTACAACTAGAGGGCAGGAGATACCACACTTCTGTGAGTTATACTACACATCAGTGCTGTAGTTTTTCTCATTCTTTTCCTAGATTAGAAAAACATGCTACAATTGCTACATTTAATAAACATTAATACATTGGACTTTTAAATGGAAATTCTCACATCAGACTGCTTGTTAGATGTTTGTTGTAACACCTTTTCATTGCAGATATTAAGACCATTCTAATAATAAGGATCCAGTCAGTTGACACATTCTTTTTAGTGACAGTCATACAAGGATAATGCCACATCATCTGCCACCAAATAGGTCTTTTATTCAATAATATACACCTGTAGATTTTTGTCATGCCTTATTTCTATCATGATGCAAAGAGAATTTCTTAAAACTAAGCATTACAACTTATTATATAGGTAGAGCATCTGAAAATGAAAACTATAATTCTTCTTGGACTCCTGGGAACTATATCAGCAGCCCCGGTAAGTGGTTCATAATGCTGTAGAGTTCATAACATAAGCCTAACATAGTGCCTTCCTTTACGATTTTTCTTTCTTTTTTTTTTTTAGCTTATCTCACAGCGTCTTATGTCTGCTAGCAACAGCCATGAGGTTAGTTTAAATAATTAAAGTGATCTCCTGTATTTTTTAAGTGAAAACCCACTGGGAAGAGATCAAGGACTGCACCTATCCCACTGGATCTTACACATATCCAAACATATTTCCAAGTAGCATGTTTGCTCTGTCTACCAGGTTACTTCTGAAAGGTTGGTTTGTCCTCCTTCTATAACTGAAGATTTTCAAATACAGATATGGTATCTTCTGCATTTTGTTTCTAGCAACACTTAATACAGGAATATTTAGATCTAGAAATACAAAATAACTACCTAAACTTCTGGACTAGGCTAAAGTTGTGCAATCTCATTCACAGGAGGCATGAAATTGTTAAGTCATGGCCTTGTTTTCAAATCCATCCTCTAATCCCTGTCATTTAATGTAATTTTAGTGGGAAAATGTCTCACTTCTAGGAGGAAGCTCATCAACCAGCTCTGACTTGTGCTTTATCTGCAGTAAATATCTTAGCATGTGTAGTAATCTTGTTTTCATATTCTCTTTCCTTTTCTAGCTACTTCTGAATCTTAATAATGGTCAACTTTTGCCACTACAGTTTCAGGTATTAAGAGAATATTTTTATGATCATTTCTTATGCTTTTTTGTACAGGGAAGAAAATATAACCTGATTCTTTCCTGGAGCCTCAATTTTCAATGTTATAAGTTTGTCCTGTATATGCTAATGATCATTTATTTGAAGACTAAAGTAAAAACTATAATCTAATTAACATTTACATTTGTTAACAATGTGGTATGTGCTAGACACTAATTCTGACAATTTTGAGATATATAACTATTTTACACAAAGCCACATCTAACCGACCAGTGGGAACAGGACAAAAACATTAAAAACCAGTTTACCAAAACTTGTCCTCTTTAACATTTTGTGCTTCATATTTCTCATGACAATTGAGAATTTAGCACTGTTTGTGAAGTTTATAAAGATTGAGATGTTTTCCTTCTTATAGTGCAGCAGTGGAAATATATAAATTGTCTAGTGTTTTGTCTGTTTCTTCCTTAGGACTGGTTTTAAGTTCTATTTTAATATGAAAGAAAATATTTCCTTTCTTCCTTTGTATCCTCCCAGGGCCCATTTAACCCATGGATTCCTCCCTTTTCTGGATTTCTGCAACAGCAGCAGCAGGCTCAAATCCCAGGACTCCCACAGTTCTCCTTGTCCACACTAGACCGCTTTGCTGGACTGCTCCCAAATCAAATGCCTTTCTCAAGACAAGTCGGGTTTGACCAAGGTGGCCAGGCTGGCCAGCAAGACCCCTTACAGCCTCAAACACCATTACAGATCCAACAGGGCACTAACCATGTAAGTCAGGCCTCTTCCAACTTACTGTCTTAAGAAGACAGAACATAAAAGTCATTGTGAATCACCTTTGAAATGAGATGGGAATCTTATTCAACTCATAATATTTATATCATCACTGAAAGTGTTTTTCTGTTTTCTGATTTTTAACATGAAAAATACCAATAAAGTCAATTACTCTAAAACATAGTCAGCAATCAAAAGAGCAAAGTAATATGTGGACAAGATGCATAATTTGTATGAATGATGACCCATGTAGTAGATGACCTTTAGCTGTGGAATATTGCTAATGCAAACAATAAAGTTATATGGGTACTTCTGGGAAAAACAGATCAGGACTATTAAATAACAAAGTCAAGCATGACTTGCTTATATGATTTTCTTTTTTTTCCCTAGATGCCCTACATGGTTCCCTTCAAAATGCCTCAGGATCAAACACAGGTAAATGAAGAAATACCAGGGCTATGTCTTCTCTGTATTTTAAGTGCTGACACTGGGGAAAAGCTAGAGTAATACCACGAGCAATCACTACCATCCCAAATTTTGCTTAGAGGGTAGTGCACTTATATATGATAGGCAGAGGTAGAAAACATTGCAGCACATCATTGGTCTATTATAACATTCCACTGAAAATGTTTCCAGTATGCCATATGCAATATCCATAATGTGTTAGAATAATTAATTTTATAATATCTCACTTTTAAAGACATAGGGCATAGATAAGTTGTTATTCACTGGTAGACTATTGACTTGTTCATAAAAAGTAATACCACTTGGTTCCTCTATAAGTATAATTATGCAATTTAGTCTCACATCCACTGCTATTACATAACAACATTTACTTCTAGACATTATCTCATTGTATGCCATAAGTGCTTAGAGTCAGATATGTGAAAAATACAATTACTTCATTTTTAAGGACCAGGAAACTTAGTCTTATTGAGATTAAATTCATTATCCCAATGAAGTAAATAGCTGAATCAGTTCTCTAGCATTTTCTTAACCAGTAATCCAGTGGTCTCACTATCCTGGCTTTACATTGAAATAAATCTTTGCGGTTGAAAATGAAAATGCCTGAGCCCTACCCAAGCCTAAGTTATTAAAACCCAACTTGATGACAAACATTGTAAGGTTTCTGAAAGCTCAAAGGGTGGTTTTCATTCTTAGCCAGGGTGAAAACCTACTGTGCAAAATATATTCATTTCAAAAGTACAGTTGCTACTGTTTATAAAGTTGTATCTAATATAGGCACTTGATGGTACAAAGAAATTAAACAGCATTCAAAACTCTATGTATGTTCATGATCCTCATTCTATAAACACATGCACATATGCAAATACATAGTGGAAGCTAATATATGGCAATATGGGTAGTGGTGGTTTTATTTGTTGATTTTCTCTCCCTGGATTATTCTAATATTCTAAAATGCATAAAAATTATTTTAATAAAATAGAAATTATATTTTTATTTAATTTTCCATTCATTATGGTAGAACTTCTAATTCCATGTCCTATAAAATGATTTTTCAAAATTCAGCATAGTCTGTTCTAAGATATTACAATTTAACTTACATAAGTTTCCAAAATGTTGTCTGTTAAAAGAAAGCATTCATCTTTTACTTAGTTGAATCTACTATATATTCAATTGTTTGACGAAGTAACCTTAAAATGAAGTCCAATATCATCATGTGGTTTGAAAATTGTTTCTAAATTTGACAGGGACCACTTTATTTAGCCTTTTAGTTATACTTGAGAATGGAAAACTGCTGTATGTAATACAGCTTTTGGTAGTTCATGCCTCTAATACCAGCTTAAAATAATATTGACATTAGAAGAACAAAAAGTATTGCCCATGCTGATCCAACGGCATCTTGTATGCATTTCTGCATCTCTGTTTACAAATAGGTGCTTTCGTACTATCCAGTTTACATGCTCCTTCCCTGGGAACAGTCTCAACAAGCAGTCACACCATCGCCCCAACAAACTGGACCGCAGCTGTTTGAGGAACAGGTACTGTGAGGGTTTTATTTTAATCTGACTAGTTCCATCTGAGAATAAGATAAATTCCCTGAGAGGAAGGTCACTGAGCACACTTAGTGCCTGTACTCAATGACCAGACCAAATAGAAGAGACATAATGTTCTCTCCCATTAGCACATGTGCCAACGAATGAGAGCTTGTCCCAAGCCTGGATTTCTACAGAATCACTTTTTAATATAAGCTTTTTATCACATTCAAAATCTACTAGCACCTATCATTTATGTATAAATACATGCATGTGCCTATTATTTAAAATAATAAAAAGAAAAATATGATAAATATTTTGATAAAGGATATTTTTGATCACTGGACATTGATATACAGTTAGCAGTAGGTTTAATTTTGTGAATCCGCAATACATTTATACAATTTTAATATAAATTCAGATTGTCATGATATGGTATTAAAAGAAAGCTTGGTAATTTAATGGTAAATTTTGCCAACTGATATGTATAGGCTTTCAAAAAACATTCAATTAATGTAAAAGGTATGTAATAGAAGCAATCATTTATCACAACTTTATAATAAAAGTGATCATGGTCAATCACTTGCCTTTTTAACACTCTGACAGATACCATTCTATAATCAGTTTGGATACATTCCACCACAAGCAGAACCTGTGAGTAAATGCATGTGCATGCTTTAATTTCTAAAACAAATCATCTGGACCTACTTGTTCATTAAATTCATAAATGTCTTTCAGACACAGGCCACCAGGATCATATCTCTAGATGGAGAAAATCAAATTTGTCTATACATGACTATGAAAATACATATAAGGAAAGATACTAGTAGAAAGGGCTTGTGTTGGGGTTGTTTTGTTTTTTTTTTTAAGAGTTCGCCAAATGGTAGTGAGCTCTGGAGTAGGTACTCTCAGAGAGCTGAGGTAGTTCTTTCAGTATTTTAAGGATTCTTAAAGAGAACACAGATAAGCAAGCATGCCAAAGGCTATAAGTGGTGAAAAGCAGAGACACTGGTGTCAGCCAGGATGTGAGGACACTTGGAACTTTGCCTCTTATACTTTTCTTTAGATAAGAAAGAGACTGGTTTCAACCAGGATGTGAGGACACTTGGAACTTTGCCTCTTAGACTTTTCTTTAGATAAGATTATAAAGTCTCTTTTTCCTGACTTCATCACGGACATAGACAACCTGCTGCTGGTGTTCTGCAGGATTGTTTATGCCCAGCAGAACTCCTGGCAAGCAAAGCTTCCAGACCTGGAGCAGAACTGACTGTCAGGACAGTTCTCTCCCATCCACAATTGCTTTTTTCTTTCTCAAATCTAACTTATTTTAATAAAATAACCTAAGAAGTTGAGGAGTGCTGGACTACTTTGATTGAGATAATAATATATACTAATTGATCACTGATTTAGTCTTCTCTAACTTGCTATTTCTTCAGGGTACACCAGAAGGAGAGCAGCATTTAGGTTTTGACACCTTTGTAGGTACCGCTCCTGAAACTGCTGTGATGGTAAGATTCCTTACAAAACTTTGCTAGAAATTGGAAATCAACAAATAACAGCTTATAAGATTTTTTAACTTATGTTCATTTCAATGTAGACTCTCTTATTACATTGATAATCATTGCATCTTCCCCCTGTAGTCTTTTGCTACTCAAGATCTAAATCACTTAGTCCTCTAATATTTATTGAGAAACTTTTCAGGAACTTCTCTGTGCATGCTTATTTAAAAGCTGAGGAGTTGTTGGCACTTGATGGTGGCTGAGGGAGGATAGTCATTTCTCTTTGAGGGTATGGTCACTAGTAGGTAACCATGCATCAAGCGATGACACCACACCCACGCATACAGGGAGCATCAATTGGACACAATGGGAAAAATTTATTTTTTTAATTTTTTTGATTTATTTATTTTATGTATATGAGTGTATTGACTGCATGTATGTATCATGTCATGCCGTGCCTGCAGAGGACAGAAGAGGATGTTGGATTCCCTGACAAATAGTTGTTAGCTGTCATGTAGGTGCTGTGAACCAAACCCAGGTCCTCTGAAAGAGCAGACAGTGCTCTTAACTGCTGAGCCATCTCTGCAGTCCTGGATTATATTTTTTAAAAAGAAGAGGAGGATATGAAGTTGGAAAAGAGATGTGTTAGGGGAATCCAGAAGGAGTTAGAAAGGTAAATGGGAAGTGGATATGGCCATAATACACTATATACATTCATGAAATTCTCAAAGACTAAATAAAATGTAGATACTAATAGGTACCCATATTTTAAAATATAATCATAACCTTTCTAAAGCTGGCTTGTGATCTAGAAAACTAATAAGAAAACTAGAAAACTAAAACTGCTACTTGAACTGAATCCAATGTGTTCCACTCATTCTCTGTAGCCAGCAGAAGGAGGGCTACCACACTTAGAAAAGGAGGCAGTCAACTTCAAGCATGACAATGCAGGAGTTTTCATGCCTTCACCAAAACCCAGCACAACTGCCTTTTCCTCTCCTGCTATAGACCCAACTATTGCTCCAGTACTTCCAGAACAGAAGGTACAGTAACCAAAGATTTGTTTTATGCAAGAAATTGCTGTCGAATAGAAAATAAAAATGAGAACTTAATTTATAAAACATGGCCACAGCGATAATAATACAACAAATGATATAGTATGATATATGATCGTAAGCCAGGATAAGCTAGCTGACAATTATTATTTTAAGTTGATGTATAGCATGTGATTTAAGTTATTTAATTTGAGCTTCTTATGTTCTTTTCTCACTAGGCCAAGAGCGGTAGTCTAAGAGAACCATAAGATGTCATCTTAATCATTCAGAGGTTTGGGTCGGTATCTTTGCCAAAGTTCATGTCTTAATTGCCATGACAATACTTAATAGTATTAATTCATCAGAGGAGTTAGTGAAGTTTATGTTTATATCTACCTGAAAAATGATAACAGTTATGATTGCCCCTGAGTTTTAAAAGTCAAAATTAACTTTTGAGAGTTATATATGCCTATACAATAAATTTGATGTGAGCTCAAATCACATAAATACTGAGTATATGTAAAAGAGATTACGTGTTCTCTACAGAGTCAGTCCTCTCAAGTCATCATTTCATTTTGCAAGTCAAACTAGGGATACTCTCAGTACATACTTAATTTCTTGAAGTAAAATCTTAAAATAATTGCATACTGGCAAAGAAATTTCACATTTAGTGAATTTTATATCACAATATAACCTTGGCTAATTCCCTAAGTGAACTTGGTTGACTACTAAAGTACATTTGTTTAGTGGAAAGGTAGGCTTGGAATTATACTAAAAATAAAAATACACTTAAAACAGCATACAATTTAACTCAAAGAAAAAACTAAAAGATAAGGATGTTGATTTGAAGATGGGGAGGGGATCCATGAAATGCTGTCTTTTGGACATGGCATGGCTCTCACACTCAACTGAACTTACAGCAGTTGGGATTATTGGCACAAGACCTGCACAAGATCAAGTCAGCTAAAATCCCAGGATAAATGTGGTAGATGATCTCCAGGCCCTACCCCTTACTGAGGAGTTATTGGCAGTGGGTAGTTGCTGGGAAAGAGAATCATTCTTTCTTTTTAGTGTATGGTCACTAGTAGGTTGTCCACACTTCAGTGGCCTGACAACCATGCATATATGGACAGCACAGAAAGAGGACTTTAGCAAGTTACCAAACAGAAATAAATACATGAAGTTTGGAGGGAGCATCTTGGGGGAAAGGGCGGATTGGAGGGGGCAAGTGGGAGACAGAAAAATATCATATTTCATTGTATATATGTATATGATTCTCAAAAATAAAAACTTAAGGAGTTTGAGACCTCTTATGAGTCTATTCTGATCCTTCTTTCTATGAAAAACAATATTCAGCAGTCTTGGGATGAAAGGAGTCTATAAAATAATCGATAGTGAACATGAAGATTTCTTTAGAGGCATGTCATCATTGACATGCTATTTGGTATAAAGTAAGTCATTCAACTTATTTGATCAAACAAACTAAAGGTATTTTAATACAGCATGAATTGGCTTAATATAAAACCTCTACTATTAACAAACAAATAGTAAAATAAACTATTTACAAATAAATAGTTTAATAAGCAATTTCCAAGATAGCTGGAAAATTTGATACAAGATAGTCTACAGGTACTTACAGTCTGTTCTACCTTATTTTTCAGAGAAGAAGATGTGGTGGTGCCTTGGATATCTTTTAGGTTATTTTCTTCCTCGATTTCCAATAATGCTTCTCTGAAACATGCAAAATCTTTTCACAATTTTCCTGATTCCTTTACTTACATATTATACTCTTTATGTTATCAAAATACTATATCATATATTAAGTCCTATCTAGATAAGATTTATTTCTTTACAAAGATTCTGTGATTGTGTAATCTGTAATCAAACTAAAATAAAGTTTATAACATCAAGTTAATTAGTAATTGTATTAATAAAAGATTCATCTAACACTTGTATCATTCATGAGAATAAAAATATACTTTCAATGTGTTTAGTGATTGCTAGTAATGAGATAAAGTATATATCGATCTTTCCTATGTCTACATTTCACTTTCCCAGACCCAGTCAGTCATTTTCTTTATAGTGCATGTCTTATGAAAATCAAACTTGCTTTGTGATAAATGTTGCTCTCAGTACACCACAGCTACATAGAGAGATGGCTGCTGTCACTCAAAAGCACAAATCCTGGGGACGATGACTGCTTATCGGAGGAGGCAGCACCCTACAGACACTGGAGCATAAATTTGGATCTACCACATTTTGGCTTTGAACCTTCAAAATGACACTGAAACCTAAATCTGTTTTCTCAGTTATAAACAGGAGAGAACAAGACCCAACTTTCAGAATTTCTGAACGTATTCCTTGAATTAACACAGATGATAACTGGCTGAAACAAGTACTCAGAACTACTTTTCCCCCATTCACACACAAATATGGAAAACTTCCAGCTTGTTTTTCAGCTCTAGGACTTCAACAAAAAAATTACAGAAAATAGTAAATTTGACACTCAATATGCCTTAGATAGATAGATGATAGATGATAGATAGATAGATAGATAGATAGATAGATAGATAGATAATAGATAGATAGATGATAGATAGATAGATGACAGATAAATAGATAGATAGATGATAGATAGATAGGTAGATAGATGATAGATAGATAGATAGATAGATAGATCTCTTTAAAACCAAAATGTTGGGGGGATGGGGAGACGGCTCCGTGGTTAGGAGGATGATTGATAGATAGATAGATAGATAGATAGATAGATAGATAGATAGATAGATAGATAGATAGATAGGCGTGAACATGTATAAATGAAAGGGAAAATGCATTAGTGGGTGAAAATATACGTTATGTTGCTTCCCAGAAATTCGCTGTTGTAGGATCTTAGCTATTTCTGCATTTAATAGAGTTATGAATCTGGAATCTACTACTTGCTCTGTGGAAGAACAGCCCAGTAATCATCTATTATGCCTTCATTTTGTTCTGTATCCCTTCCCCTAAGTTCATAAAACAAAAGAATGAAATTCTGAATGATTGATCTCTTATTTTTTTTAATTATTTTTATTTTGTGTATATGAGTGTTATGCCTGCATTTAAGTAAGTGCACCCATGTCATGCAATGCCCATGGAGGACATAAGAGGTTGTTGAATCCCCTGGAACTGGAGTTACAGACAGTTGTTAGCTTCCATGTGGGTGCTGGGATTCGAACCCAGGTCTTCTGCAAGAACAGTCAGTGTTCTTAACTGCTGAGCCATCTCTCCAGCCCCATGATTGATCTCTTAATATTGGACCTGACAAGCACCATAAAGCATGATAAAACTTAGGCATTCCAAAGCAAAATTCTGACTGTTCAGAAGATCATTTCTAAATTTACATGATATAAGTTAAATTAAGTGCTGAAAATACAACCTAGAAAATATTATAGCAAGTACTCAACTTTTGAAGGAGTAAGACCAGAGACAAAATAGGAAAAAAGAGTACAAAGTATTTTCTGCCCAAGACAGGCAGTGAGGTGGCCAGGAAAACTGTTCAATCAAGTATGAAACTGTAATCAACCCAAGAACTTAGCAATAGAAGCAGGTGCAGTAACAAACACTTTTCAAAACAAGGTGTGATCATAAATTTTGTGTCAATTTGACAGCACTAAAGAAAGACCAAACTACTGGTAGACTGTATCCTGAGTGTTTGTGGCTGGAGGATGCCAGCATTTGAGTTAGTTACCTGACCTTTCCCATAAATCTCCCTACTTCCATTGCTGACAACTTCTTAAATTTCCACCAGCACATATTAACTTTCCCTTTTCTTTTATCTACATCAATAAAATCACACACTATATACTTTTTGTGCATGGATGCTTTTACTCAATGCAATGTTTCTGTGGTTCATTCTTGCTTTAATATATTGCACTGTGTGAATATATAGCCCTGTTTCTTTAACTGTTCTCCTAGAACATCTGTACTGTTTCCATTATTGAACATTATAAAAAAAAAAGCTGCAATGAACATTCTAGTTTTCTTCTTTCTATAAACGTATATTTTCATGTCTCTAGAATGATGCAGGGAAGTAAAACTATAAGCAGATGTCATAAAGAAATTGCTATATGGTTTCTAGTGTGGATATATATTAGTTTGCTTCTCTATTGCAATGATAAAACACTTTGGTCAAAAACAATGTGGGGAGGAAAAGGCTTATTGTATCTTACTTTTTCAAGTTTAGTACCATCACTGATGCCAAAGCACCATCATAAGCACGTCAGGAACCTAGAGGTAGGATCTGAAACAAAGACCACAGAGAAACTGCTTAGGAGTTTGTTCCTCTAGCTGGTGCCTTCTTATACAACCCAGGACCACTTGTCCAGGAGTGGCACCAGCATTGGGCTGGGCTCTCCCCTCCCACATCACTCAGCAATCAAGAAAATGTCACACAGACATGTCCACAGGCCAATCCAATAAAGGAAATTCCTCAGTGAAGGTTCCTCTTCCCAGGCATATCAAGTTCACAAATGAAGCTATCCCACACAGGCTTGTAATCATTCTACACAGTGATGACAGTCTATCATAATACCAGCTCCACAACTTTGTGGCCTACATTTAAAATTGCTTGCTTGCCTCCTCATTAAAAAAAAAAAATCATTAGTGCATGTTCTACCACACATTCCTTAAAGCTAACGGTTTTAGAATTTAACCTGTTTTGTTACTTCTCCCTCAAGTATCATAACATGAACAATTCTGTCTTGATTTTAGTAGAATTTATAAAAACTGACTTCTTGGTCTATATTTCAGTCTTTTTGTAGTCTGATAAACACTGTAGTTTAGAATTCTGGGGAGTTTTTTGGTTTGGTTTGGTTTGGTTTGGTTTTTTGTTGTTTTTTTTGTAGCCACAGCTGACCTTGGTCCTTTTGAGACAGGGTCTCCCTGTAGCCCCAGCTGGCCTGGAACTCACTATGTAGACCAGGTGAGCCTTGAACTCAGAGAGATCCGCCAGCCTCTGCCTCCCAAGTGCT